CTCGTCAACGAGCAGATCTGGTGGACTGTATATATATGTGTAGGAACACAACCCTTATGGTTCGTGTTCAACCTCGTCAATTAAGTTGTCATTGGATCTCAACCAACCTTCGAGCTAGACAGATTGCCTGTACTACTCATCGTTACCCCAAGCCGTCGTTAGGTGTTTCACCCAGGCGACTTACCCCTACTGTTCCAGAGCCAGAGTTCATCCTCGAGAACCAATCGAATAGTGCTTACGAGCTTTGCTTAAAGTACGACTTCAACATTTTGAACACCCCCAAAGATGAGCCCTACTTCAGGAACGACTGCTACCCCAGCTAGCTCCCGCAACTCCGACGTCAACATGACCAATGCCATCGAGACCAATCATATCAATGTCAGCAAGCCCGATCTCTACCATGGAGATCGTGCCAAGCTCGATGACTGGCTCATGCAGTGGGACCTCTTCTTCATGTTCCAAGGAGATAAGGTACCCATGGAAAAACGTGTTACACTCGTTGCGAGTTACATGCGAGGAAATGCCTTCAAGTGGATCAAGCCATTCGTTCAACAGTACAACCAAGGCAACGCTCCCGATGAGGTTGACGCTTGGATGAACGATTTTGATGAATTCAAGACCAAGATTCGACCTGTGTTCGGAATCTCTAACGAACCAACAATTGCACGACGCGACATTCAACGTATCCGTCAGACCAAGTCAGCCGCCGACTATGCCGCTGAGTTCCAACAACTCGCTGCCAACACTGACTGGGACGACACTGCGTTGATAACCATGTTCCGTCAAGGCCTCAAGCCTAAGGTCAAGGAAGAACTGATGCGCACCGGAGCCAGTACTGAGAATCTTGATGATCTTATCAATACCGCAATTGATCTCGACGTCAAGCTCTATGAGTTACAGCAAGAGCTTCGAGATGATCCACGTGTGCGAGCTGTTGCGATCGACAGTCGCCCACCACCACGCAACCCATGGCGCAACAACAATCGGGCCAACCAGGGAAACCGCTACCAGCCAAATATGGGACGACGTGTGACTCACACTGACACTCGAGGTGGCTACTACGGACCTGCTGCCATGGACCTGTCCAATATCAATAAGGGACCGGAGCGATGGAACAAGAAAGGACAGGGGAGCAGACATGACAAGTCAAAGTCCACATGTTACAGCTGTGGCAAAACAGGTCACTTTGCAAGGGACTGCCGTATGAAGAACAAGGTTGTTTGGCAGTTGAATATGATAACCTGCAGTGACAACGAAGAAGCCGACGATGAGTGGGAAATCCTCACCGACAACATGGGACGCCTGTTAGAGGACCCCGACTCCGGCCCTGAGGGAGATTATATTGGATCACCCAGTGGCACTGTTATGACTCAGGGGCAGGACCCAGGAGCATACGGTCGCGCACCGACACCACATCCCAGAATAGTGGTAGAACACGCAGACAGTCTGTCGGAATGCAACAAGGTGACACTACCAGAAAAAGAGGAGTCACGACGCAAGGAGCATATGGACCGACTGTGGCCTCGTGAAGGAAGAAGCAAGAACAGCAGACGCAACCTGCCTGATAACCCTGAAGCTATGCAGCGCCTAGTCAAAAGCACACCGCACCAAAGCACGGGTACACAGACCGAGGGAACCAGTGAGGTTAACCTCAAGGAAGCATGCGAGCAAGCGCTGATTGCAGTCAACAATCTACTCAAGACTGAGAGTGAGTGGCATGACGAGTGGTTTCAAGAATGGGCACACAACAACCATGCGACTTGTGAGCACCTAGAACGAGTTGCCTGCAACCAGAGAGGACTCAATGAGCCTGACTTTGATCGACAACCCATTAGGCTTCCAAGCCCTCGCCCACAATACGACCTGGACCACCGGAATCCTCACCACGAAAGGATAGACTGGACCTACTGCGCATACGACGCTTGTATGATACACTACCAGGAGAAGGTTGATGCGGGATGGTTTCCTTCACCACGCATCACCTGTCTACAGCCTTGGTACAAATGCACCAACGATGTATGCGAGATACACCTGATTGACAAGCGGTCTAAACTCCACTTTCCGGGTACTGAGGACCCACAAGCGGTAGTACAGATGCAGCTAGTTGTCAACGGATCATGCTTCAACCCACGATGGCAGAACTGCCTGAATCCCGCCTGTGAAGCTCACCGAGCAAGCAAGGACCAGAATGGATT